CCCCAAAACCCCAAAACCCCAAAACCCCAAAACCCCAAAACCCCTTTATTTGTTTTAAATATTATATAAAATGTATTCTCAATGCTTAACTCAGCCCTAACCCTCGTCAAAGAAGCCTGCTAATAGCTTCTTCTGAGCTGAATAAGCTTCTATTCATACCATTTCCACAAAAGATGACGACAATCTCAGATTTGGCTTCATTAAGATTCAATCTGGATCTGTTCATCATCTTCTTGATACGAAATTTAAGGATTCTGGTGAGAATTCTCTGAAGAGGGACCATTTTTAAACATTCTTGATATTTCATTACTTTGACTATCATTAAGCTCTAAAAACTCTACCTCGATTGTGACCCATTCACGATATGTTTATCTAAAAATCCTCACAAGTACCTTACATTTAGCTTTGCTTGATGTTGAGTCTCCAAAGGCATCTTCCAAGTATTTTAACTGGTTTCGAACCGAAGCTTCTTCCTCCACGTCGCCCATGTTATTTGTTACCATCGTAGTTACCATTGTAGCTATAATTATTGATAGGTTTACTTTGGTCTGTCGCCTGGATAGTCTGGCTTCGTTTCCTGGAGTGCCCTTCTACATCAGTTAATTCAAAACAATACTTGGCTTATGGGGGATTTTTCCTTTAAAACCTATTTTTGGGTTATGAAAGCTAGAAGGATACCTCCATGCTGAAAGTCTGCAGATAGGTATTCTCTCAGAAGATTATGAGTAATTAAAGAATCAAAAATATATGCAGGAAGTAAAACTGGATTATAGGTATAGGATTTTATTATTTTGGAAGGGAACTTTCGACAGGTAGAAGGCTATGCTTAGCATAATGTCATTATTCTGCTAGATATAAAGGAGACAACTAATTTTTATTAAGCTATACTTCTATCATAAGAATATTTAGGAGTTATTACCTTTTACCTTTCCTTTATTGATCAAAAATTTATATCTTTTGGAGCACTGATAATTTGTAATAATTTTAGCATATTTAGTAAGAGAATCTTCAAATTTTTCTGTCATTAATTTTGAGACCTTTACCCAATTATATTGGATATCTTCTCTTGCTGCTAGGGTTCAAAGATATTTGTCCATTTTATTATCCCACTCAAGTCTGGGAGCATAACTATCTCTTCTATTTTCCTAAAAATAAGAAACAAAGTACATTCAACTTCATCTTCTTGAATGAAGACTGTCTCTGCTCATCATCTTGGCCCAATCCAAGGCTCATTACTAAAACTTGACGATGATCCTTCTTGGATTTCCATGGAATCCGATCAATCTGAAGCAGGGTTGATATGACTTGACTTCGAAATAAGATTCCTCATTTGAGAATCAATAGTCTTCGGACCTAAAAACTCATCAAAATCACATCTTTCAACACAAAACCTCATTTCCTAACCCAAATCTACCCCCAAGCCTCTCTTCAGCCCCATCCACTCCCTCCCTAACCCCACATCGATTACCTCTCACAGAAGTACTTATCCTTGCTGAATCAACCAAAACCTCGTCACTATCCTCTGACTCAAACTCTGGCTGGCTAAAACTAATTTTCGGCTCTTACTAAAACCTCATCTGCAGCTTCTTATTTCTTCAGTTTGTTCCTCTCCCCAGGCATCAGGTTCAGTTTCTTCTCCCGCCCAGGCAGGGCTCTTACTACAGGTTGAGTCAGATAAGAACTTTGGGGTACTTACTTAGGCCTGACTGGAAGCAAGCTTCTTTGGAGCCAAGATCCATCTCGTCGTGGTTTACGATTTCACTGAAGAAGGGTTAGGTTTTGAGGGCTTAAGCGTACCTTTCGTCATGGTAGTGGAAGGCCCTGCGGCGGGATTGGGCGTTGGAGGAGAATTTTTGGAGGTTTTGTTCGAAGATTGGGTCAAGTTGTTCGAATTTTGGGTCTCGAGGGTCTGGAAAGGGATTTGAGAGGGGTGTTTTGGGAATTTAGAAGAAAAGCAGAATGATTCTGATAAAAATATTGGGAATTTGGGTAATTTTATGAAAATATGGTGGTGATGGATTGGAGTGAAACTGATGCAATATAATTAAGCAGAGTCTAGTTAGGGAGGGTTTTAATGGGTGTGGATGTATTTTTGTGGTATTAGTAAGTTATTAGAGTGGCTTACTTTCTATTCCGTATAGGTTACGAAAAGTTATTCGTTCTTCTTGATTATTATTTCTCATCTGTAATGGCTGTTAGTTTATTAAAATTAAAATCGATATCCATTTTAAACAAAAAAAGTCAATACATCCTCAATTCCTTTTAAACCTCTAAAAATCATATCAAACTAAACTCAAACCCCTCAAAATTTACCTCTCTAAAAAGCCATCAGTGCTAAAATCCATTTCTATACTCTTATTAAACTTTCAAACCACTCTCAGACTCCTTCAAAACCACAAAAACATGAGACTGTATTTATTACTAATTTATTCCTCTATCCCTTCACAAACACCAAGGATGTGCTCTTTCTATTAACAATCTTACTTCCATTATCTGGCAAAACAACTGAAATCGGCTGTAAAATTTAGATCGATTAATTTCAATTATTATTTTAGATCTTGGGGTTTTGGGGTTTTGGGGTTTTGGGGTTTTGGGGTTTTGGGG